CGGGGCAAGCAGTCAGCGGGAATTTGAGATTTTAGGGAAGAAAGTGGGCTTTGCCCTGTCTCCTTCCCCCGGGTTTCAAAATCCCCATTAAAAAGAAAAACAGCAGTTACAACAAACTTGCTCTCATCCCGCCGGCCCCCTCAACTCCCGGCACCATGAAGGCGGCCGTCGATCTCAAGCCGACTCTCACCATCATCAAGACAGAAAAAGTGGATCTGGAGCTTTTTCCCTCCCCGGGTGAGTGGCGACAGCGAGGCCCCCACCCCAGCTTTGGGTCCCCTTCACTTCCCCTCTGGGTTGCGCTGCTCCCTCAGGAGCCAAGGATACAGAGGCCAGGAGGACTGTTGGTGGCCCAAGACCCTTGTGTGTGGGGTTCTTTTTTCTTTTTTAAGTGGGGGGGGGATGTATTTATTTTCACAGCTGCTTTTTTTGTGACTAATGGGAAAAAGCTTATAGAATTTCCAGCGCCCTAATTTTCCCACATAAGCTAAACCTTTTGGTAGTATTCCTTCACATTAGCCTGACACTGCCTCTCAGGTCACCCCCTAACTCCTTGTCTCCCCAGAATTGGAGCTTGATGGGCGGTCCCTGCGAGTGCTGGGCTAACTGCTGGGGCCCTTGAGGACATTTCCAATGCTCTTGCATCCTGAGCGCCCCTGTCACACGTCCTTTAGAGTCTCACTCCTCTTTTGTAGGTTGAGGAGGTAGTGGGAGGAGAAATGAAATTAAACTGCTTAACTTTGAGAAAGCCTGGTTCCCGCCTGTTCTGTAGGTTACTAACTTTACTGGCTTCCTATTCTGCCATGTTTTGTCCTCTGGTACCAAAGGTCCTAGAAGAAGGAAAGCATCCTAACACCAGATGTGACTTAGTGTCCTTGGTTCATGGTTTCATTTAGCAGGCTTAAAGGGTTTAAAGAAGAGAGGGACAGTAAAGACACTGAATTTTGTCTTAGAAGGAATTTTAGTGCTCAACAGATGGAATCAACTCTTGAGGATTCCTGAAGCTAGCACAGTGTGAGAGGGACAGGGAGTCTGCAGCTGGCCCCAGAGAAGAGTGACTTTGGAGGTGAAAGGCTATAAAAGGATACAGGGGGAAGGTGATGCATTTTGGGAACTAATCAGATGTCACAATACACACCTCTATTGTGTCTATCAGTTGTCCCCAACCTTTTTTTCTCTGCCATAAAGAACTGCATATTTTAACCCTTTCTTTAAACTTTCAACACATGCCAAGATGAGGTTTTGACATTCAGGCATGCTTCAAAATGTTAATAAGGACATTTGGGTCCTCCCCACCCAGACTCTCCTGACAGTCAACGGGGATTGCTCTGTACAAAAGCTGGACTTGTGTCTTGTCCCAGTGTGATGACAGAGCCACACCAAGGCCTCTGCTCGAGCCCTGGAGACCTTTTAGGCACTCAGCTGCAGGTAGAAATGATGCCGTGAAGGTTGTTTTTGAATATTCAGGGAGCCAGAGTTCTCTGTGTCACAGTTGATTGAAACCATATATAGCAGAAGTGAAAGGATAGTTGCCAGCAAAGATATAAACTCAACTAATAGGCCCTTTCCTTAAGAATGGCTTGTTTATATGTGCTACGTGTGTTTATGGGGAAGAGACGGATTTGGGCATCTGGGAACCCTCGTGCATATTTATGTCAGTTCACATGCCTACAGTGGGACTTTGATGCTGGCAGTGAATGAGAGCCCCTTGCAGCATGTGTTTTACATCATAGCAAACAGCTGAAGCATGGTTTTTGGTAATTTAATATTAAATATTTGAGATTTTAAAGCATTCGATGCTATTACTTTAGTTATTGATAAAAATAAACTGTGGGCAAGTAACTTTATTGAGCTGTCCCATTAGTAAAATAGAGCTGGGCAGCCTAACATAGCAGTCGGTGTTTGCTATACAGAGTACCTTTACATTGGCTTTCGTGATCAGAAGAGTGCTCAAGAGATTCAAGTTAGAAGTGAACCTGGTGCATGTAAGACCAATTTGAGCAATATAGTGAGATCTGTTCCCAAAATACAAAAAACTCCCAAGCCGGGCTTTCTAAATGCAACAAAGCAACAATGCAACAAAGCAACACAATTTCATTTGGTCCAAGAAGTCAGGTGTTTTCTGTCATTTACTATGATGAGACTTTTCTTTGTTTTCTGATACTTTCTTAGAGAAAATGAAGAACAATGATTTGTTGGTCATTAAAACCATTTTTTAGCATTTTTCTGGATTTTAGTTGCATTTATATAAATATTATGCTCATACTTCAGATGGGGGATCTAGAAGCACAGAAAAGTAAAGACACTAGGCAAAATTATCCACAGAGCCAGTGGCTGAAGAGAGATGAATTTCTGTTTCTAACTTGTCAGTGTATAAAACTGAGAAATACTGCAAGTTACCTTTGGAAACTCAGCAGAGAAATGTCAATGGAGACTTCAGTTTTCAAGTACAAAGATGCAAGAAACCCTGGCAAGGACTGGCAGCTTTCACTAAAAGAAGGCTAAGAGGCTAGGTGCAGCTTTACCTGGACCATCAAACTATATAGGACATCCGTGTCTCAGCTGCATGGCTTTGCATCTAGAACAGTGACCTTAGTGTTTATCATGACCTTTATCATGATCTTCTTGTTGTTGTTGTATTGCTTAGTTTCTTGTGTGTAGAGACAACTAGTAGGGGGTGTGATTAAACCAGAACTTCCTTTCTGCCCTCTCCATAGATTCCTAGATTCAAAGAGATGCAGTGGGAAGTCTGAGGGTCCAAATTCTTTGAGACAGAAGAACTAGAATATTTGTCAGTCTCTCTGTGGTTAGGACTTGACTGAGAACCTCTGTTCAGGTTGGTTTTATATTGAGGTTTGACAGGATTTTGACTGCATCAAGTATCAAATTAATATATACTTTAAAATAACATTGGCATTCAATTTCCCTTATAAGTGTAAAGTGGGACATACTATTTCATTGCACACCTCTTTTAGGCCTTATATAGGTTTAAACCAAAGGTAGCATCGACTTGTTCCTGGCTTCTTTCTGAGTAGGGGAGGAGGCTACGGAGGCAGGGTGTGGGAGCAAATGCTACTTCATTATTTTCCTCCCTCCCATACCACTCCACCTTATGGTGAGGTGAAGATGGCAGCCATAGAGGAACAGTTTTCATCCTGGCTGTTTGCCCATTTATAAGGTTTAAAATGTTCAGCCCCTACTTCCATTTCACTTTGACAGAGGATATCCATCTCCTGGGGACTGTTACTGTCCTTCGAGATAGGAAGAAGTCTTGTCCTTTCTTAGTTTGGACAGTCTTTGTGCCATTACAAACCAGAAAGAAGGGGGGAGCTTCTGGGCTGCTAGGATCGCTTGCTCACCGAGTTTCTAAATCCCCTCTTACCACATATTAGTGACTAAATAGCCCAGTGGTTTGGACAGGGACTTTGGAGACTGCTTGTCTGGGTGTGAATCCCCAGTTAGTAGCTGTGTGACTTTGGGCAGACTACTTAATCTCCCTGTGCTCCAGCTCCTGCATGTATGAAATGAGTGTAATAATCCTTGGATGAAGATGAAACCCGAATATGTGGAAAATCTTAACTCAGTGCCGAACTGGTAATGGAGTCTGTTGAACAGTTAATGAAAAAGCAAGTCAACAGAAACCTTGACTAGTGTAGAACTTTCACAAGACCTTGGAAGGTTTGGTAGGGAATCTGGAGGTTGGTTTATATATGTGCCCCAAATCTACCACTTGGGGAGGAAAGTACAGCAGAGAAAAAGATCTCCTGGCCTGGAATTTCACATAAGTAGACTGTCTTCTGAGCTCCAGACAGCAGGTATGGTGAGCAGTTCATTTTCAGCCTGTCTGGGAAGCCCAGCTGTCACTGCACCAGATCTAGAGGTGGGTGTATTCCTTTGGGTGATAGAGCCTGTCAGTGACACTCAAAGCAAGAAGTCCAAGGACAGTGGGGGGACATTTGCAGAGTTGGAGGAAAAGTATATTTTTTCCCCATTTTACTAGGTTGAGAAATGTGTCCAGTTATTATAAAGTATCTCACGTTTTATTTATTTATTTGGTTGGTAGAGCTTGCATTCCTGGCATTTTTGGTTGGTTTGTGTTGCTGTATTTTTTCTTGTCCATGTAGCATTTTTCCCCCCTCTTAAAGAGGCCAGACCACCCTGTAGGAACATCTCTCTCTAGGAGACAAAGAACCAGTGGTCAACTTCCCCAAACCCAGCTTACTCTTGGCCCCACCACAGTTTCTGCAAAAGCAAGAGCTGGTTACTGGCTGCCAGGATTTTCCAGGAAAGACTCTCCCTGCTTCAGAGTATGGCGGCTAATTCCCATTGGCACACGCAACAGTGTAATTATAGACAGAATGAAAGCTGTAGCTCTGATGGCATTCCAGGAGCTTATGTTGATGGTAGATACTTGTTAACTAACTGTTGTAGGGAGTTTCTGAAATGTGTGTTGAGTGTGCTTTGTATGTCTACAGCCTTCACATGCTGGAGCATACTTGATTCACACTCACTCTGGGGGAAATACTATTTATTCCATTATTTCTCAGGTGAAGAAAGTGATATTCATAGAAGTACATACCTTTTCTAAGGCTACGCTTTAGACACTTAGACACTGGTAAGATGCGGCAGGCATTTTGTACCTGAAGCAAAGCATTGTATTATTTTCAGCAACCCTGGAAATTAAGCCACAGTCTGTATTATATAAGAAGGCAGATCTGGCTGATGCTGTGGAGATTCAGGGACTACAGGGGTTCTGTGCCATCCCTGAAAGACTTCCCTGAGCTGAAACGTAACCTAAGTGCCCTGAACAGCTTGGCAAAAGGGAGTCTCCAGGCAAGGCCATCTAGATGTGTATCCTTTCAGTCTGACCTCAGATGGTGAAGGAGAACCAGGACTCTGTGTTTCAGTGACTCTCATGCATTCTAACCTTGGTCTCTGATGGAACCATCAAATCCCTGACCCTCTAGCTTCTGCCCATTTTATCCCTTTCATCACTAGTACTGCCATGAATTCCATTGTTTCAAGTCTGGATGATGAAAGACGTTGATTGGCAAGCTGAAGGCAGTTGAAGTTTAATTTTCTGCTTTGTAAGGAGATGGGTAATTCCACTTGTTCTCTGTATAACAACTTCTATCTTTCCCCCTAAAAGTTATTTTTTTTGACTCTTAATTACTGTGTCAGGGCATACTGTTCAGAGTGGCTAAAGGGGAAGGTAGGACAGTCCCATCATCACATAG